CAGTACTCCTGGCCTCTACCCATTAGGTACCATCAATACACAGAAATCTCTCCAGGTATTATGTCCCTTGGAGAGCACAGTCCACTTCCCTGCCCACTCTGTTGAGAATCCCTGATAATTAGTTTAACGATGAGCAGATTCATTTTAACAATGAGCAGACCTCTTTTAATAATCCGTATGTCAGTACTGGCAACAGAAATATACTGCAATCTACATGTGTAATTTTAAATTTCACAGTAAGCACATTTTAAAAAGTACAAATAAATAGACACAATTACTTTGAACAATTTATTTTATTCAATTTAATTTTTCCAAAATATTATCATTTCAACATGTAATCAATATAAAATGATTAATGCAGTATTTCCATTCTTTTTTCCCACTAAGTTCTTTTTTTTTTTTTTTTTTTTTTTTTTGAGACAGAGTCTCACTTTGTTGTCCAGGCTAGAGTGAGTGCCATGGCATCAGCCTAGCTCACAGCAACCTCAAACTCCTGGGCTCAAGCGATCCTCCTGCGTCAGCCTCCCGAGTAGCTGGGACTTCAGGCATGCGCCACCATGCCCGGCTAATTTTTTATATATATATCAGTTGGCCAATTAATTTCTTTCTATTTATAGTAGAGACGGGGTCTCGCTCTTGCTCAGGCTGGTTTTGAACTCCTGACCTTGAGCAATCCGCCCGCCTCCCTCCCAAGAGCTAGGATTACAGGCGTGAGCCACAGCGCCCGGCCCCCACTAAGTTCTTGAACCCCAGTGTATACTTTACCCTTACATCTCATCTCAATTTGGACTAATCTCATAGAAAGTACTTATTTGCCACATGTGGGTAATGTGTGCCATACTGGGCGGTGCAGCCATATACAGTGACATCTGGCAAAAGCCACAACAGTCAATATCAACTAATTCAACAATAACAACAATCTAGGTTTCTAATAAAATTCTGCAGTAAAAGGAACCAGAGTTCCTTAGAGAAACAGCTTATTCAAGCGCTGGTGCCCAGAATATTCAAGATGGGCCTGGAGCATCTTGTCGTGCTAGGAAGGAAACAGATGCTCAAAAAATGAAATGATGGGGGCATATGAAAGGGACACAGGAGTCAACATGAAAGGGCTCCCAAAGGCTATTAAGAGAACATTTTGAGTATCAGAATAAGTAATATCGTGCTGGAATACAACACAAATTATTAAATAAATATGCACAAGCAAAGGATTGAAAGAATAAGTAAATGGGGGAGAAGAGACATGCCTCCTATAAAGAAGATTTTAAAATGATTTATGTCGATACTTCCCCCCTCAAAGGTGGCACTTCAATCCCCACTGTTAGAGTGTGAGCATGACACTTCACCCCTGTGGTCTCCCCTTTGAAAACCTATAACCCCAGTTTAAATGTGACAAAAACAGCAGACACACGCAAATTGAGAAGCATCCTAGAAAATACCCAAACACTGCTCCTCACGACTGTCCACATCATCAAAAATCAAGTCTGAAAAACTCTCATGGACCAGAGGAGTTTGGGGAGCCATGACTGCGAAATGTAATGTGGTATCCTAGGTAAGATCCTGGAACAGAAAAAGGACATTAGTGGACAACTAGGAAATCTAAATAAATTGTGGAGTTCACTTAATAGTAACATACTAAGGTTAGTTTCTTAGATGTGACGAGTGAACCACAGTAATAAAAAAGGGAATTGAGTGAGGGGTGTACAGGAAGTTTTTGGACTATCATGGCAACTCCTCTGTAAGTTTTTAAAACTACTTTAAAATAAAAAGTTAATTTAAATTTTTTAAAAATATTTTATTTCATATTTATTTCATTATTTTTACAATGGGCAGGTATGTTTTCAGACCTTAAATGAAGTAGGTCACAGATGGTGAGAGCCAGAAGGCAGGGATGGGCAGACACACAGCTAAACCCAACTGAAGGTTAATCTTACTGCACATTTTACTGTCTCATATTGGGCCCAATCATGGAGTCCCTGGCCTCACTCTTCCCCTTTCCCCCAATGTAATCATTTTATTTCACAGTACCATTTTTTTTTCAGTTTAATAAGGCATAAACTCTCAATTTTTTATTTAAAACAGAAATGCAGCAGATATATAAGCTCAACCTTTCCTCATTCATATGGAACAAGAAGGAAGCATCAGTAATCCTCTTTGGCCTTAACAAAAACTCATGGGGATTTATACATTTAAAAATAAGATTTTTTAAAAATATTATTACTAGGTCAATAAATCATTAACTGATACAACCAATCAGAATTAGACTTTATTTATTTATTTATTACCTCATATTATGGGGGTACAGATATTGTTAGGGTTACATATCTTGCCCCTGCCCCTCCTCCCCCACCCCGCTATGCCAGAGCTTCTAGCATCTCCAGTCTCCAGGTGGTGCCCACGGCACCCACCGTGTAAGTACATACCCTTCCCCTCCTCCCCCCTTTCACCTGCCCACTTCCCGAGTACAGATTTTTTTTCAGGAATTTTGGTTACAATGTATATCTTTACCTCTCCCTAAAAAGGGATAGAGGTAATCCCTTTTCCCCCATAATGCTAGCCATTTCCTTAAGATGTGGGTCGCGCCCCCTCCAACTTCCTGTTGAACACTACCGTTTTTTGGACACCATAGTTTTAGTCAGTCAGTACCATTTTGATGGCGAGTAGATGTGTAGCCCCTTTTCCAGATCTTGTGTCGTCTCGCTTTGTATTATGGGCTTAAGCTTAATCCAGGATAGCATAAAGGTGCAGAATCACTTTCACAGACGTTGCAACAACTCCGAAATCCAGGGATCTTACAAGACTAATTCATTAGGAACAACATTTACAAAGAGTTTTTTCATGCTGCATTGTATTTGATTTAATGTAGTCAGAAAGAAACAAGGAATATTTTCCTTCTTATTTTGCTGATATGTCCTATTTCACTTACGTTAGAAAAGCCTATAATTTCACAGCTGGATAAATGGAATTCCATGAGTAAACAGACACAGGACAAAGACAGGCAGAGAAGTTCGAACTAACAATTGGGGCTGTATCAGTAGTATGGTATTAATAATAAATGGAATATTTGGCATGTAATAATCTTAATTTCCATTAGTAATCCAAATATCTTCTTGTTAGTATTTAGATAAGTGTTTAAGAATGTTTTGTAGGAACTGAAAGGCAAATAAGTAAGTGCATTAGCATTATATCAGTATTGCTGGTTTTTTTTTTTTTTTTACATTTTTTATTTTTTCTTTTTTCATACCTTACTAAGCAGTATTGCTGTTTTTATTCTAATATAGTATCAGTGTTTTCATTCGAAGAATCATTATATAGCTGTATTCTCAGGCTACAATAACAAAACACCACAGAATGGGTGACTTAAACAACAGAAACATATGTGTCCCAGTTCTGGAGGCTGAGAAGTCCAAGATCAAGGTTCTAGCAGGGTGGGTTCACTCTGAGTCTCCTTCTCTTGGCTTGTAGGTGGCTGCCATCTCTCTGTGTGCTCACCTGACCTCCTGTTTGTGGGCACAGGGGTAGCGGAATCAAGCTCTCTGGCATCTCTTCTGATAAGGACACCAATCCTATCACATAAGGGGCCCACCCTTATGACCTCATGTGACCTTAGTTACTTGTTTGGCAGTCCCATCTCGACACTGGGTGTTGAGGTTTCAACATGGGAATCTGGGGGTGGGGGTGGGGCACCAACATTCAGTCCTTAACAATGGCCCACTAAACTAGGAAAGTCAAGGAACACAATTTGGAGTTCAAGAATGATTTTAAAATGAAGTATTTTGTATAACAATATGTAGAGCCAAGCTGAGAAATTGCCACAGAAACTCAGTGATTTTTAAAGACCATATCTTTCCTAGTTCTGTTCACCTTAAGGCTTGTACACACTTAGAACCAGATTTGGGTCTCCAATACTATGTCCCACTGAAAGCTAGAGAAAACAGGTTTCTGTTTGTTTTCTCTGGGTCTACAATTTATCTGTAAAGTGACAATTAATGCTTACTATCACACTTAAGGTTTGATTTGAGCTGTTGTGAAAACAAGCATGCAGATTACCATTTAAAAGGGTTAAATAATTATACCAATGCTCCTTGTTTTGCCAACATGTTTAAGACCCACTGCGTCAGGGACTGAATTATCTTGGTAATCATCCAGGTCCTGAATGAATATAGCAAAGGGAAATGTCAAGAAATCAGGAAACAAGTTTTGCTTCTGGTATGGCCAAGTAAGTGCTAACAAACCACCCTCCTGCAGATAACAACTAAATGTTCTGCACAAATTTTAGAAAACCCCAAACTACATGGAGTCACTTTACAAAAAAAAGTCCAAACTTCAAAAAAAGTGAAAGGACAGCATTGCTAACAAATTATTAATAATAGAGAAAAAAAACCCCTATCTAATAGAAATCAAGAGAGAAAGAGCACAGCCCCACATGGCCCCTTTGTTTGATGAACCACCTGTGGCTTCAATTGTTTTGCTTAAGATTAACCACCTGTGACCCTAAGAGTTTGTTTTCACAGCATTTGAAAAGAACTGAACTGATAGAAGGAACATGACCCTCCCCCACATCCCTCCAGACCAAATTCAAGGGTGACTGATAAGCCAGCTTCACAAAGAAGAGAAAAAAAAAAGAAAAAACAAAAAACAAAACAAAACAAACAAGCACAGCCCCTTCAGAGCTGCCTTCTGCTGTCACTGACAACAATCACTATTCTTCTTTCCCACCCTTCTTTTTTTTTTTTTTTTTTTTGAGACAGAGTCTCACTTTGTTGCCCAGGCTAGAGTGAGTACCATGGCATCAACCTAGCTCGCAGCACCTCAAACTCCTGGGCTCAAGCATCCTCCTGCCTCAGCCTCCGGAGTAGCTGGGACTACAGGCATGCACCACTATGCCTGATTATTTTCTATGTATATTAGTTGGCCAATTAATTTCTTTCTATTTATAGTAGAGACGGGTCTGGCTCTTGCTCAGGCTGGTTTCGAACTCCCGACCTCGAGCAATCCGCCCGCTTCCGCCTGTCAGAGTGCTAGGATTACAGGTTTGAGCCACCACGCCCGGCCCTTCTTTTCCCTTTATTCCAATAACAACCCAGGACCCCCTACACTGGGGCAGATACCTCTGTTTGATTCATGCCCTGTCCTTTCCTCCCTTGAAAAGTAAAATAAACTTTTTATCCAAATTTATCCTAATCTTTGTTCTCAACCCATGCTATGAATTCCCTCTCTATGCAAAGAAAAGCCACAGTTTCTTTTTTTATGGCTTTTACCCAGACTACAGGGCGCAGGTCTGCATTGTGTAGGGTGCCTAAAGCTCCTATAGGAAACCACCATCTTTCTGGCTGGGAGAATCAGGGCACAGAATGTGGGGCAACCATCATTGCTGAGAAGAGTTGAGGGAGGAACCCATGAAAGGAGAGCCAGAGGAGAGGAGGAGTTCCAAATTCTGTGCTCAAATCTCTAGCTGACTTGTGAACTAAAAGGAAGTTTCTGCCAATAGCAAACAGATTTTCACTCACAGAAGTTTACATAGCAATTGCCTCATCCCATGTGGGTTTGGAGTTCTTCCTAACACTCACCATGCCACAGGATATACAGGTGTTGTCTTGCCCTGGAAGCCAGACAGACCAGAATATTGTGTGAGATGGCTGACTCAGGTGTTCTTGGATGGATTCCAAATACTATGCTCCTTTCCAGGCCTGAGAATCGCCGGACACTGTCCAACACTATGTGATCACCCACCATGTCACATGCATCACTCAGCTGCACGATCCTTTTCTTCCTCATTGCTCTCAGGAGCTCATGCTTGTATCGCTCCATTTCTGCCGCGGTGCTGACGAGCACAGCAATGTCCTTCTGAGAATAGCCTGTTCTAAATAGTAAGTTGCAGGTTTCTGCCACGTAGGTCACTATTTGCTGCAGCGTCAAGTTTGTCTTAATTGTTATGGACCCCTGAATACTGGGAGACCATTCAGCTTCAAGAAGCATCTCCAAGGACTCAGGGGGGATGTTATGTGGAGGATTATTTCTAATTACTCGCATTTCTTCTTGTAAGAAGTTGCCTATTGCATCTGCATTGCGGACCACTCTGGTGAGCTCTTCTTTTGAATTCTGGTCTGAGAGAGGGGGGAGGCCACTGCAACTCAAGTGGCTGGTCTGGAAGTAGTCCAGAAAGATCCAGAGAATTCCTGGGCAAGCCTTTGCTCGCTGAATGATGGTTTTTGCCTTCCTGTACCAATCTCCATCTTCAGTGCGGAAATTCTGAGCTTCATCAATGATGATGTGCTGAATATCTTCAAAGACATTTGTCATGAAAGTTTTCCGGGTCACCGCCTGGCAGATCTTCTTGTTACTGTGAAAATTAAAATGACACACTCAGGTTCTCTCTAAGAAAAAGGGAGAAAATTACTCTATCGTGCTGCCCTGCACAGTCTGTTGCCACAGCTCACTTTACCACCCAATTCTCAAGGAACCAGGTGACTTAGTAGCTAAAATCAAGCCAAATTAAATAACACTTACAGACATAAGGTCCAACTGCTTACCTGACAAAGTTTCTCAGCGGCTGGTTCTCACAGATGTAGAGAATTCTACGTGTCTCACAGAGAAACACATTCCTGATCTTCTCCATGATCTTCATGGCCATGATTGTCTTCCCTGAGCCAGGCAAGCCATGGACGAACAACTCTCTGTTCTTGCGGAGGTTTGTAGAGAATAGCTCATACTGTTGGGCTGTGAGCAGATTTAGAACCTCACAGCCAAGCTGGTCACTCAGGAAAGACCTGAAGCCGAGCAGGACAATCACGAGGGCCTGCAGCAAGGCTTCCACTTGCTGGGTGTCTCCCAGGCTATAGGACCCGGGGTAATCTATCGGAGAGACTGCACCCTCCAAGCACTCTGTGGTGCACTGAGGACTCAGGCAGAGGACCTTGGCCATGACACACACCTTCCCGGTGTAGCCCCCTGTGTTCACCAGCTTCTGCTTCAAAGCAAAGGCTGTGCGGGTGCAGTAGCTCTGCCCCCCTGCCTCCTGCTCCCCGAGAATGGTGTAGAGAATGGGGGAGCTGTTCTGTGCTATCAGCAGAGCATCACAGATGACTCCTTCCTTCTTGTGCAAGTTCAGGTCCACAGCCCAGCTTCTGGAGAAGATCAAAATTCCCTGGGAGAAAGGATGCATATGCCTATTTATTAACTCCTCCAGCCCTTCATGCTCTGAGGATAGCTCCGTCCAGAGGGATTCGGGAGTATATCTCAAATGTCCTGATGCCACTAGATGTGGAAAGAATAGAAAACTTTTAAAAAATGTGTTTACATTATTATTTTCTATGAATCACATCTTATATTTAACAGGCAGATTAAAACCCCCAAAATAACTGTGCAATTTAGGAGAAATTCCTTCTGGTGCACCTCTCTTTAAACCACACTCTACAAATGTGGTGAACTGAATGATGCTGCTCTTCTATGTATCTCATGGAGAGTAGATGTGTCAACTAAAATGGAATTTATTGACCCAGAGAAAGTGAAACCATGTATGTATTTAATTACTTTGTCTCTAAGATTCTTATTGTGGAATGTTAAAAAACCTTTCTGATAATCTAATGGCCTCAAAGATCTCAGGTAAGTAAGAAAACTATTTGGTTAAAAACAGGCCTAAGGCAGACCTAGTATATTAATTATCAGGCCCTTGATAAATGTTTAGATATACATAGGACATTTGTATTTTATGTTCTACTGTCAGATCTCACATTTAATAAGTTTGATGTATGAAGTTAAGTAAGCCATTTTCCTCCTCTAGAAATCTAGGTTTCCTTTTGTAACTAGGAAGTCCTAGACAAATCTTGCTAAAAAATATTTGGGTAAAGGGGAGACAGGTCACCTAACACTGTCCATGGTCTTGAATGATTATTTTGCACTTCCTCTGGGCCACTGGTGACTCACCCCCTCTAGCCCCTTCAAGAGAAATTGCTTGTGGTTTTTCTGTGTTTTTATATTAGGCAAAACATTTTTATTCTTATTACAGATATGATTCCTCCATCTCTGAAAAGCTGACCAGTAGTAGTGAATTATTCCACAGTGCCCCCTTGTTTGCCTGCACTCGTACCAGATGAGCATTTTCCAGACTCAGCAGAGCATCAGAAAAATTTGAGAAGCTTGCTCAAATGCACATGCCAAGGCCTCATCCCTGGAAATTACACCTTTATAAGTTCTTGGTGCAGACCTGGACATCTGCATGTTTAACTACTTCCCACAGTATTTCTGATAATCAGTTAGATTTGGCAACCACTAAGCTAGATGATTTCTAAGGGTACCTGAAACTCAACCCCAAGAGGCTTGTGGCACTGTCACTTTGACACTTGGATTTGCAGAACACAGTCTTTCATGGATTTTTTTTTTTTTTTTTTTACCAACTGTATTAAATCATCTCCCTTTCTCTAATGTAAAAACTGGCAGTTAGTACCTGGAAACAAATGTCGTTGGAGATCTGCTTTACATTCCAGACCTTTCTTAGAATACACCGGTCTGCAAAGTGGAGGCCTGTGGGACAGGTTCAGCTGAGATTCAAAAGCCTCGGCCAAGTCTGAAAGTAACTCTGAAAGAAAGAACAGTTTACCCTGTAGGATTTCATCCCTCATTGCCAGAATAGACCATTGAAAGCTGTGCCTAAATTTCACTTCACATGGTACAATTCAGGTCCCAAAGTCAGACACTTCACCCTCCCTTGACCCTATGTCAACCTTCAGAAAGATGCAGCATTATAAAACCCTTCTTTTGAATTTTGAATGGAGATTTCCTGTCCAATATAATGCTCCCTCTTCCATGTTTGAATAGCTCCTTCCTGGAATTGTAGTGATGCTTAAAATACTCTCTTTTTAAATTCTAATTATCATGTGATTTATATTCCTGCTCATGCACCTCCACTAACCCAAACGAAATGAACCTCACTTAATTCTGGCTCTTGTCTTCCAGAGTTGATCTCATGCTAAACTGAGGTACAGGGAAATTGTTATTATGAGGGTCTAGCACATTCCAATTAGAGGATTTTAATAAAGGAATCCATTTCCAAATTTCCCTTTACTAAATCTTTTGTTGTGAATGGTGATTCACAACATGTCTAATTTTAGCTTTTTCTCACCAAATAAATCCTTCCCATATAAGAAAAGCATGGAGATTTAAAGAAAGTAAATTTGAGTGGGTGTGATGAGCTCAGAGTCACAGAGGACCTAGGAGGACATGGAGGGAGGCACTTGCTTTCCCTTACCTGGCTCGGGACCTGTCATCATGCCTACCCACTTCTTGGCTGTCAGGCTGCAGATGTCCTTGCCATTCACCATCCACGATTTGGGATTGCCTGAGAACACTGAGCAGCAGAATGGCTGCACTTTAATCACATAGAGATAACCATACAACTCTCTTCCCTTAAACACATTTATGATTTTGGTGCGGTACTCCACCCCTGGTTCCGAACAGCAAAAGTGGACAACGGGCAACGTGGAAATTGCTTTTGCTATTACACTTTCCAAAGACCTAAGGTCAACGTTTTCTTTGGCACATCCCAGGACTCTACTTTTATCATCCACTCCTATAAAAAGGTAGCCTCCTCCAGAGTTTGCAAATCCTGAGACGTACTGTGGAATTATACTTTTTACATATTCTTGGATGTGTTTTGTACCAAATTGTTTAAACTCTATGAACTGACACTCAGGAAAAGGAAGGATTTCACCATGTTCAATATGGTCTTTTTGGAATACTAAGTCAGCAAGACGCAAATTATTGAGGTTTTGATTTAAAACATTGACAGATTCACCAGAAGGTTCTTTCCCCAAGATTTTTGCTTTCCTTTTCTTCAGGAAATCAAATGCGTCTTTTGAATCCATGGGAAGCACAGAAGTTTCAGATCGACAGTATAGTGAAGAACTCAGGCTGCAAATGCGGGGCCTCACAGAACTGTCTTCAGCGAAAGGGTGACCGCTCCAAGACTTAACGAAAATGTAAAAAGATCTTCCTGGTTGATCGAACTCAAAGAAAGCCTGCAAATTTGAGGAGTCAATAAGGTCTCTTAAAGACTGTTCTAAATCTAGTCCCAACTCCACACGACGCTCCTCCTTGTTGGCCTTTTCCATCCGTATCACTCCTCCTCCTGAGTTTAATAAAGCACACACAGCCTGTGTAACTCTTGCCTTCTCTTGGTCTCTCTGAGCTTTCTGTAGCATTTTTCTGTTTCCTTCTCCAAGAGTCACTTCTCCTATGTTGATGACCAAGTCTGGGTAAGACAATTCCAACGCCAGAGATGAATTATACTCTTTCGTGTTCATTCTGCAACTGAAACCATTAAAAGATGGTTGATAAGGAAGTAGATTGCAAGTACACACAAAATGCATTCATTAATTTATTCAAACATATTTACTGAGTTCCTAAATGTGCTGGGGGCCAGACATTCAATGGCAAAGCAAGGATGGGCATAGCCCCTGCTGCTCAGAGCTCATCGTCTGGAAGGAAACATGGCTGGATAATACAACTGCAGTGATGTGTAATAAGTACTCTGAAAAGAGAAGCACTTAACAGCAACAATCAACCTAATATGAATAGGGAAGCCTTCCTGGAGGAAAGGGAGTCAAGCTAAGATCCAAATGAGCCCAGTAAAGGAATTGGAGGCTGGCAGAAGAAATTAAAGTATTATAATCTGAGCGAATAGTATATGGAAAGATCTGGAATCAGGAATCAAAATGGTGTATTAAAGCAGTAGAGACTCAGCTTTCAGTTCAGTCTGGCCAGGTCTCAAGAGTGATAGTGGATGGGTGGCAAGGAGGGAATGGTGAAAGGGGACTCTACACAAAAGGGCACATCAGTGGGATGACGGAAAAGGGTTTTAAGGATGGGAGTGATATGAACAGACATTTAAGGAAGACACCTTTCTGATAAAGAACAGATCTGTGGTTGTCAAGGGTTGTGGAAGGGAGAGGGTGTGGTCATCAAGGGATAGCACAATGGAGATTTTTGAGGTGGTGAAACTGTTCTGTATCCTGATTGTGGTGGTGAGTATAAGAATCCATTCATGTGTTAAAATCTGTAGAACTGTACATCAGATGAGTTAATTTCACTGTAGTGTAGTTTTCTAAAGGGGTAGAGCACATTATCACTTCAGGGTGGAGAACTGATCAGAGAGGAGCCAACCACTAGGGAGGTTTATGCAATAACCCAGTAATAGATGGTGGTGGCCTGGGCCTCAGTAATGGGGTTGGCCACGAAATGAATTGAGCACATCTGAGAGATATTTAGGAAATGAAATTAGCGGGTGCTGTGATTGGCTAGATAGAAATAGGGAAAAGGACTAAACTTAAGTTAACATGGTTTTTGGCTAGGGCAGCTGAGTGGGTTGTGCCACCTCTTATTGGCAAGAGATCTGTGATCATTGAAAGTGGGTAATGGGTCATTGGGAATTCACAATCCCATTCTCTTTACTTTGTTCATATTTGAGAAGATTCCACAGTAGGTTATTAAAATGACCTCATCCTTTATATTTGAGTGGTAGACACATTAGTGTTCATTACATTGTCCTCTTATTTCTCTGTAAGTTTGAAATAGTTCATAACATAAAAAATTGAAAAGGAGAGTGGGGTACAGGAATTTAGAACATTGATGGAAAAGTAGTTAAACTTTTGAAGTATACATTCTCAGTGGATAGGGTGGGAAATGAAGACGGCCAGGGCAGGAGTTTGATATGACAAATGGAGAGAAAGAAGGATCGATGACATCTTTATGATTTCAAAGAACTTGTATTTGGTAGCAGTCAAGCAAATCAATAAAACTCAACAGACCCATGGTGAGAAGGAGGCTCTAAAGAAACTCAGAATTGCACTGTAAGCTGCACTGTGGTTTTTCTCTTTTGCTTGATTATACATGCAAGCATGCCATGAAAACTGTTCATTCTTTGACTTTTCAGTGCAGTAAACATTCAGTGAGCACTCACCATGGACATCCCAAGTACAGTGATCATCTACCTGCAAGCGGTTTATGGTTTAGGTCATGTCAAATTACCATGACGAGGCTTAACATATGTGGAGAAAAATCCATAGCACTAAATACCCAATTGGTTAGAGAGAAAGACACAAGTAGAGTGATTTGTATCAAAATGTAAAGAATAAAAAAACAAATTTAAAGAATTTGGAAAAGAAACTAGATCACAAGGGAACACAAAATAACAGGAATAATACATGTCAGAGGAAAAGAAACTTAAAAAAGGAAAAACCAATTATTTGGTTAATTAAGAAGGTTAAGACTTTTCATTTTGTTTGTTTGCTGCCCTGAGGTTGCACGCCACTGATCTCTCACTCAGGCAACAAAGCGAGATCCTACCCACCTCCCCCCCAAAAAAAGAGTTTTGTGAATAGTTCGATTGTCAGCCTAAAGTATTTCATAAACAGCAGCAGCAGTTTCTGCCTGAAGCATCAGCAAATTCAACCTGTAGTCAGGGCAACTACACAGTGGCGGTCAGGAATAAGGTATTATGGCTCCTGTCAGTCTTCTGTTCACAATTTTAAGGTCATGATGCTGTGTTAAAAGAGTCAATCTCAAAGGATCACACACTGTATGATTCTAGTTATATATCATTCTTGAAATTATAAAATTATTCTGCATCTCAATGACTTTTATACTAATAAAAAAATTAAAAAGTTAAAAAAAATTAAAGACAAAAAACAATAAAGAAATTACAAAATTAAGGAGAGAGAATACACATTAGTGGTTGCCAGGTGTTAGGGATGGTGGGGGCAGGGGCGATAGGCAGGTGTAACAGTAAAGGGATAGCAGGAAGATCTCTGTGGTGATGGGATTATTTTCTGTCTTGATTGGAGTGGTGGGGACACAAATATACAGTAGAACTATGCATTGCACCAATGTCAATTTCCTGGTTTTGGTGTTGTAGTATAATTATGTAAAGTGTAACTATGGGGGAAAACTGGGTGGAAGGTACATAGGACCTCTCTCTATTATCTTTTAAAACTTCCTGTTAATGTATAATTATTTCAAAATAAAAAGCGTTTTAGAGACAAGTACAGGCTAAAAGCTTATATTTGTGACACACAATGAAAGGAATTGTATCAGAAGTTGAAAATGAACAACCAAGTAGGAATATGAGAAAAAGAAATGAATAGATATTTACAGAAGAGAGACACAATTGACCAATAAACAAACATACAGAGGGAGAAGAAGGCTTAGCCTCGGAGTAATTGGAGAAATGTAAAGGAAACAAAGATGGGATATCATTTTGTTCCCTTTAGGATAAGAAACACCTGTAAGCCTTGAAATATGAAGTGTTGATCAAGATGGAGAAAAATTGGAACTCTTGTTCATTATTGGCAGCTGTATGAAGTAGTGCAACACTGTGGAGAGAATGTGGTAGTGTCTAGTAAAACTAAAAACATATAGGACCTCTAACCCATCAATGCCACATTTTGGTTTATACCTTGTAAAAAAATGATGTTGACAAAGAGACGAGAATGATCATTTTAGCAGTGTTGGAAACACCAAATCTTGGAAATAGCTTGATAATGGAATGGAGAAATACAATGTGGTAATATTTATTTAAAGGGACACTATGAACCACATTAAGAGAATAAACTAACACAAACTCATAGACATAGATATCAGAAACAAAATGTAGAGTAAAACAATTAAGTTATAGAAGTATACTTATAGCATTATACCATTTATATAAAGTAAACATGTGCACACAAGAATGGGATCATTATCTCTGGATATGTGTTATGTAAAACTGTGTTAATAAAAAGTCTGTAAAGATATACAATAAATTCAGGATATTGGCAGCCCCCGAGGAAAGGACAAAAATGGAAATGGAAATGGCAATGGTAATGGGGGCAAGGAGAACTTCAAATTTATCTACAATGTTTTGTTTCTTGAGTTTAAGAAAGGCTTTAAGTAACTATGTCAAAATGCCAACAGCTGTCAATTTGGAATAATTGGGAAACAAAAATTGGGAGTAACAACTGTTTGTTATATTATCTTTGTACTTATTTAAGCGTATTCTTATTGCTCTTATTAAACGCACAAAGATACATACGCGCATTCACTCATGTTGGGTTTATCCAAAAATACAAGATGGTACAATACAAGAAAAACTTAATTAACATAAAATATCACATGAAATATTAACAGAAAGTCAAAATTACCCAAGCAAAAGTTGTTTGTTAGCGTTTCCAAAGTATTCTAGAGAAGCATTATTTGAGAATAGTAACAGGAGGGCATTTTCTTAATTCGAGAAAGCCCAGGGTTAACATCAGTCTCAAAACACACGTACACACCTCTCACACACCCCTCCCACACACGTTCTATACAGTCCTCAGGTTCACACACCTGCGTGTCACACACCTGGGAGACATCGCAAATATCTCACACACACACGGCACATACACATCACATACACGTCTGAAACGCCATAACACACACAGCTCACACACACCTCACACCTCACGCGGCACATCACACCCACGCACCTCACACACCACAAACGACCCCGCCCAGCGCATGCGCACCCGCGCCGCTCCGCGCCCCCTTCCGGTCCCGCCCCCTCTTCCTGCTGGGCTTGTAGAAGCATCTCCCAGGGGTTCCCCCTCCGCGCACCAACCCCTTCCCCGGGCGTCCACCTGCTGCCTGCCAGGGTCCTGAGGGCGGGCGGGCGCGTGTGCGCCTGTGTGTGTCCCCCCGTGTGTGCCAGGAGGGATCCGAGCCCCGGAAGCCCGGGCGGAGGGTGGAAGGGGAGGGCTGGAATGGAGACGTAGGGCTGTGACAAAAACTATCTACGAAGAAGAAGGGACCCGCTACAGCGAGGAGTCCCAAGTCCTCAGAGCAGGCGCTGTCTGGCCCCAGGCACCAGTGACCGCCCGCACCCCGCCCGCCGAGGGAAGAGCCGCTCTGGTAATGGTCACAGTCACAGTCACTGAATCCGGAGTAGATGCCTTGTCCGTCGCCCCCCCCCCCCCCCCCCCGCACCTCAGTGCTGCAGCCACAGTCTCCAGTGCTGCGTCGCTCACACACGCATCGGGCAGTTCAGTTAATTGGCTCTTTTCTGTATGGCCAAAGTAATAAGCACACATTAACAGTGTTAAAAGGAGTATGCCAGTTGCTACTAGAAAATATCCAGGTGTTGCCTGTGCTTAGGTTACCTAGGAAAATAGGTGTCTTACGTTTTCCTATCACACAGTGGCAAACATTTCTCCTTCATCCACCTGCTGAATTGTTCATATATCTTGCATTCATCTGCACCCCATCTCCAAAAGGAGTCGAGGAAGCAACTCATGAAACTTGAGCAAGTTCACTTCCCAGGGCTTTTGCAAGTATCTGCTTGAATTAATGTTGGTAAACAAAATAACCAAATGTAGTTTTGAAACAAACACTTGCAGTAATAACTTCAAAGATCCAGCTAGATCATAGCTTCCCAGTCAGTATAGCTTAGATTTCTCCTGAAAACAAAACTGTGTACATGATGAAAAACAAGAAAACCCTTCTCACAGAAATGAACCAACAGGATAACTGATAAAGACCCTTCACAGGCATCTCTCCGCAATAAGGGTGTGGCTTCTCCCCTGTCCTGTCTGAAGGTTTGTTTCCCCAGAATTCTGAGAGCCTCCACCCGTCTCTCCAGAAGTCTCTCATCCCTGGGCTGGAATCCTGAACCCCTGGCCTCAGCTACAAGGTGAGTCCCTCTAAGAGCCAGCTCTCTTCACTGTTTCACTCATTTATAAAGAGCATGGTTCCCAACATGCCCACCTCAGCCTCTCCTGCCTAAAGTTGGTATATCTGGAAGGGTCTATAGCCACAGGGTGGGTTTTCATCTTAGAGTTCTGTGGTCTCTTTCTGGGAGCATCCTTTCTGACGAATAGGCTTGGCTTGGGTCTCTCCAGGCAAGCAGTACTCACCTTGGGAATTAAAAGATCTCACAGGGTTGGGTGCTGAAGAGAAAGTTCCAGGAGCCCTGATCTATTCAGGAGTCCGCAGCCTGAGGAAATGGCTCTCACATCTGAGCCCTCTGTGAAAAAGCAGTGCCAGGTTTTGTTTTTTTCTGAAAAGGGAAATAGAATGTTTCCACCTTTTGAAAGTTTCAGTTTCTCAGAAAACTTCCTTAAAGTGCTTCCTTCCCCTTTATGCCTACCTTTCTGGCTTGGGGGTAGAGAGATGCTATTTCTTGTTGGTAAACAGGAATTCATCACTTTAATAAATGGGTGAAAGGCTAGGTAGACCAGAAGATAGATCAGATAAACTGTTTATCAGAAGAATTACTTCAAACACTTTGGAGAACAAATCTACAAAAAATTTGTTTTGATGCACGTAAGACTGTTATTAATGATTACTCTCTGGGGACTGGATTGGGGGAGGAAGAAGATGGAGTTGAAGGGGGAAATTATTACTTTGTGCAATACACTGAGTTACCCAAGAAATATTTTGTTGCTAAGCAAAAAAAGAAAAGAAACTGTGGGAGATCCAGATAGGGAATTAAGCAGCACATCTCACTGACTTTCTCATTTAGTTTTTCTAGTAGCCTCTATGATCCCAACAGCTGTAGTTGGAGCCCAGTTGAAATTCCTGCTGCAATCCCTGTATTAATTTGGCTGTTAATATCATTGCTATAGGGCTTTTTATGGTTTTTCTTTTTGAGACAGAGTCTCACTCTGTTGCCCAAGGTAGAGTGCCATGGCATCACTCTAGCTTATAGCAACCTCAAACTCCTGGGCTCCAGTGATCCTCCTGCCTCAGCCTCCCGAGTATCTGGGACTACAGGCTTGTGCCACGATGCCAGCTAATTTTTCTGTTTTTACTAGAGATGGGGTCTCCCTCATGCTCAGATTGGTCTCGAACTCCTGATCTCAAGCGATCCTCCTGCCTCAGCCTCCCAGAGTGCTAGGATTACAGGTTTGAAGTACCATGCCCTACCCACTGCTGGAGTTTTGCTCAAGTTTCTGCTACTTACCATTTTGATCTGCTGCTTCCCCCCACTGCCCACACAAGTCACAATTCCCCTGAGTCCTTGTTTGGTGTCTTGTTCCATTTCTTTTGGGTGTCCATCCCTGTGGACTGCAAAAATTGTTACAGTGTGGATTTAGCAATCATTTTTAGCTATGAAAAAAGGAGTCGTGCACTAGAGGGAGTTGAATTAGAGACGTCGTGTACCAGATAATTCATTCCCAATTTTGGCTGCTTCTCAGGATCTTTCCGCATACGTTTTAAAAATGCAAATTCTAGGGCCCCTCCCCAGACATGATGAATCAGATTAACATGTGTCAGTGCAATATCATCAAGATTAGAGAAATATCGCTTATACATAAAACATGTATGTAGGCAGAAACATACCGAGATCTTTTTTAATGAAAAAAAAATTTTTTTTTTGAGACAAGTCTCACTTTGTTGCCCAGGCTAGAGTGAGTGCTGTGGCGTCAGCCTGGCTCACAGCAACCTCAATCTCCGGGGCTCAGCGATCCTACTGCCTCAGCCTCCCGAGTAGCTGGGACTACAGGCATGTGAATGTGCACATGCCCGGCTAATTTTGTATATATATTTTTAGTGGTCAATAATTTATTCTATTTTTGTAGAGACGGGTTCTCGCTCAGGCGTTTCGAACTCCTGACCTTGAGCAATCTGCCCGCCTCGGCCTCCCAAAGTGCTAAGATTACAGGCGTGAGCCACCACGCCCGGCCTGAAATTTTTTTTTTTTGGTAGAGATGGGGTCTCACTATGATGCCCAGGCTAGTCTTGAACTCCTGGCCTCAAGTAATCCTGCCACCTTAGATTCCCAAAGTGCTGGGATTACAGATGTGAGCCACCATGCCTGGCACAGAGATCTTATAGTTTCACTTTAAGTGTGCCCATGATTTGGGTTAAATACAGGAACATGAATTACTAATT